ATGGGGGAATAGGGTATGGTTTGGGGAATTAAAAATGGAAAGGGGAGATCGTGACCGTTGACCAGATTGATCAACGGTCTGGATTAAAGGAGGCTTGGGTCGGGTAGTTAAATGAGTTAAGGATACGGAATTGGGCTAGCCTGGTTGGGATTCAAATTGGGTCAATTAGGGGGGGGGGGGGTTAATGTGGCTATAATCGAAATGCAAATGGGCTGCAATTGAAACGAAATGAGGCCAAATTTTAAATAGCCAGTTTTATCCCTTTTATTTTATAAAAATAGTAAAAATGATTTAAAAATAAATTAAAAGTACTGAACCAATTAATAATATATAAGTATTAATAAAAAAATATTGAAACCAATTTTACAATTATAGAAATGCTATTAATCTTAAAATAGGCTAAAATTGCAATTGTATGCAATTTAGCTTTAAAAATACCAGATAAATTTATAAAAATATACAAAAATTACCTTAACTATATTTTGGTATAAATATGATAATAAAATAAATTATTCACAAAAATTGATAGTTTTGGGAATAATTACTAGCTTTGTACTGCTAAAATGGATAATAAATTGATTTTAAAATCTTTTAAAAATTAGAGAAAAAATATCAAAACACTTGGGCATGCTTATATAGCATGTATATGTTATTTTGAAAGCATTTTGCGTATAAAATACATAGGAAAAAATTGGGTATCAACAACTCATCTTGGTCATTATGAGTATTTGGTTATGCCCTTTGGCTTAACCAATGCCCCTTCTACCTTTCAGTGTCTTATGAACCACTTATTCCAGCCATTTCTGAGGAAATTTGTCCTGGTGTTCTTTGATGATATATTGATTTATAGTAAGAGCTTATCAGAACATACCTCTCATTTACAACAGGTCTTTGATGTTATGGTTGCTAACAGTCTTCTAGCCAAGCATTCTAAATGTGTATTTGGAGTTGCTAAGGTGGAATACCTGGGCCACTTCATTTCTAGTGAAGGAGTTTCTACCGATCCTAAGAAGATCATAGTTGTTCAACAATGGCCCACCCCTATCAATATCAAACAACTCAGAGGATTTCTTGGGCTTGCAGGGTATTACAGGAAATTCATTAAGGGTTATGGTCTTATTAGTCGACCATTGACTGAACTTCTAAAGAATGATAGTTTCAAATGGTCTACTATTGCTGCTCAGGCCTTTAATGCATTGAAAATGGCCCTCACTACTGCACATGTCTTGGCCTTGCCTGATTATTCTATTCCTTTTGTGGTGGAGACTGATGCTAGTGGTACTGGGATTGGTGCTGTCTTAATGCAGCTTGGCCATCCTATAGCTTTTATTAGTAAAGGGTTGGCTCCTAGGCATATTGCATTATCTGTTTATGAAAGGGAATTACTTGCTCTTGTAGTTGCTGTTACTAAATGGTCTCACTATCTCCTTGGGCAGTACTTCATTGTGAAGACTGATCAAAGGGCATTGAAGTACTTGTTGGATCAAAAACTGCATACTGACTCACAGCTTAGGCGGTTAGCTAAGTTGCTTCCCTTTTATTTTGAGATTCAGTATAAAAAGGGGAAGGAGCATGTTGCTGCAGATTCACTATCTAGAGTGGCTGGTGCTACCTTAATGTCCCTCATGGTCTCTTCTGTGCAATCTGAATTGTGGCAAGCTATATCAGATAGTTGGCAGCATGATCCTGAGCTCAAAACTCTTATTGACTCCTTGGTGATGACTCCTCACAAGCACTTTACTTGGGTCAATGAGCAATTGAGGAGGAATGGTAAGCTTGTAGTTGGTAATGATGCTGCTTTGAGGAAGAGAATCTTAACTTTATGGCATTCTACCCCTTCTGGGGGAAATTTTGGTATTGATGCTACTACCACAAAAGGTGATGGCTTATTTTTATTGGAAGGGCATTAGAAAAGACATTTTGGATTTCATTCATAGCTGTGATACTTGCCAGAGAAACAAGTATGACACTTCTGCCTATGCAGGTCTTTTACAACCTCTAGCTATTCCTGCTACACCTTGGACTGACATTACTATGGATTTCATAGAGGGCTTACCTAAATCTAGAGGTGTGACAGTCATTTGGGTGATCATTGATAGACACTTTATTGCTCTTGCTTATCCTTATACTGCCCAGTCACTTGCAACTGTGTTCATGGATTCCATTTTTAAACTTCATGGCTTCCTAGCTCCTATCACAAGTTATAGGGATCCTATATTCATTAGTTCCTTCTGGAAGGAGTTCTTATCTGTTCAAGGTGTTACTATCCAAACTTCCACAGCCTATCATCCTCAAACTGATGGCCAGAGTGAGGTACTCAATAGGTGTTTGGAAACATATTTGCGTTGCTTCTGTGCTGATTCTCCTATGGACTGGTGCTCTTTCTTGCCCATAGCTGAATGGTGGTACAATTCCAGCCCTTATTCTGCTATTCAAACCACCCCTTTTGAGATTCTTTATGGTTATCCTCCCCCTATACACCTTCCTTATCTCCCTGGTGACTCCTCTATTGACACTGTTGAAGACATCTTATTAGTTAGGGCATTCAAACTCCAGTTAGCCAAATTCCATCTAGGCAGAGCCCAACAGTGAATGCAAGCTCAAGGCAATAGTCACAGGACTGATCGTGTTTTTAAGGTGGGTGATTGGGTGTTTGTTAAGCTCCAACCATATCGCCAATCTACACTCTCTCTTTCTCCCTATCACAAGTTAACCTCCAAATATTTTGGTCCTTATCCCATTAATGAAAGAGTGGGTGCTGTTGCCTATAAGCTTCTTTTTCCTCCTGAGGTTCAACTTCACCCTACATTTCATATCTCTCAACTCAAATTTTGTTACTCCTTACCTTCCACCATTGTGCACCCTCCTGTATTGGACTTGGCTAGTCCTTTATGTCCTTCTCCTGAATCCATCTTGGCAAGGCGACTCATCAAAAAAGGGAATAAGGTTGCTCAATGCTTAATCAAATGGACTGACTTGGATGCCTCTCAAGTCACTTGGGAGCTGGCTTCAGATTTGCGCACAAGGTTTCCTTAGTTCATCCTTGAGGACAAGGGTGTTGCTCACTGAGGGGGTATTGATACACATATTCCAGCAACTGATGGACCTTCTGCCAACTCAACTGCCAACAAGGATGCCACGTAGATGAATAGTTAGCTTAGTTGTACCGGAAATTCAAAAATAGAAGAAAGGCGGGAAAGTTAGTTATGAAATTCAGCTCATTTGATCTTCCTTTTTCATTTTATTTGAATCCATTGTATTAGTCATATAAATAGGAGAAATGTAAGAGAAAGCTATTATGATTGAATATACAGAAACTTCTGCATCTCTCACTCTCAATCTCTACTCCTTCCTTTTTTACTTTTCTTCTTCTATCTCCTCTAATCTACTTCTTCTCGTCAATTATCACTGTTTCCTCGATCGATACCTGCATTTGGTATCACCTAGGACTGGAAATATAATTGAACTCGCCCAAAATTTATTTTCAAATCCCATGTTTGGCCATAAATTTGACCCACATTTTGGCCAAAACTCAAATCACATATTTGAAATCTCAAATTCAGCTAATAAGCTGAATTTGGGCCAAATTTCCAAAACTTGGGAATTATATACATGTTTTCCCAAAATAAAGTTGAAAAATATGTTTTGAAATCGTATGTCCAAACACATTTTCATCTTCAAACCAAACTTCACCCAAATCAAATTTTTCAAAATAAATTTGGGATCTATGGCCAAACGCTAGCAATAATATGATATTGTATTCCATGTTTGAAGAATGAGTATGGTCTTTTATTAGTTAAAAGAAATTCCAAGAGGCAAATCTGTCCAAATTCTACGTATCTTTGGCTTATTATATCCAAGAATATAATCGTGAAACTTCTACACATCTTCTAGTCAACATAATCATATCACTATCGTCTCAATACCAAAAAAGATCAATAAAAATATCGAATGTGTCACTTTGTGTAATCTAGAGAGGATATATAACGTGAATGTATATTGTGGTAGCAGCAACGTGAGTGGTATTCTATGGAATAAGAGTGCAATCTTTCTCAAGAATATCATACAGATTTTTTTCTACTTCGATCTGCCGTTACGTGTTTTTCGCAAAAGACGTGGGTTAGAGGGATTGTTAAGAGAATCGGCTCAGGTATATGTAATCAGTTTGACAAGTTCTCGTAGTAGACGAGGTTTCAACTTTAGCAATTTAGGTCCGAATCACGTTAAATGACATCCGTTTTTCACCAAATTTTACAGAAATGTCTTAAATCATATATAAGACCTGTACCGGGCGCCGGAACCAAAATACGGGCCCGATACCACCATGTTCTAATCAAATTTCATTTCAAATTTCCTTAAACAATTTCAGAAAACATGCACTTGACAAAGAAAGCCCACAAAAAGAGATAAATTAGAAGATAAAATAATATTGTATAGCCGCTCTTAAAATAATACTCTCTCCGGTCTATAATAAGTGACCAATTTATTTTAGGTACGCCCATTAAAAAAAATACTAAATTCTATATAAAAATACCTAGTATGATTAAACTACTCTTAATTAAATATTTAATGTGAGGAGTAATAAAACTTTTTAGGGATATGTACATAAGGGTAATTTTGTAAAAACAAATTGAATTTTTTCTTGATTATATAAATGGACACTTGTTTTGGGGGTAATTTTGTAAAAACAAATTGAATTTTTTCTTGATTATATAAATGGACACTTATTTTGGACCAAAATAAAAAAGCAAATTGGTCACTTATTGTGGACTGGAGGGAGTAGTAAAAAAAAATATATTTTTGTACATATATATATATTTTGTATGTTATATATAAAAATTATATAAATTTTATATGCTTTTTCGACTACTAAATATAAATAGTTTCTGGCATGGGCTAAAAGTGATAATACCCGTAAAAGAAACGTGCCCCCCTCCAAAAACACTAGTATAAGTAAGGACAACAAGCATTAGAATTCCTTTTGGTTTACACAACAAAAAACAAAAATCTCCATTAATATATATAGCCATGGCTACAGATACTATTCCGGCACGGGAAGATGATCGGAATATCCGCCGGAAATTCGGACGGTCAATGAGAACGAAGTGCCCGGCGCCGTTCTTGTTGAAAACTTATGATCTTTTGGAGGAGCAAAAAGAAGAGAATATTAATAAGGTTATTTCATGGAATGGTGAGGGAAATGGTTTTGTTGTTTGGTGTCCAGCTGAATTTTCTGAGCATATGTTACCAAGATATTTCAAGCACAACAATTTCTCCAGTTTCATACGACAACTCAATACCTATGTAAGTCTCTCAACATATATATATTTTTTTTCTGTGTGTGCATATTTAGTTACATGTTATATAGAAATTTATCCTTAGACAATAGTATATATGATTATCAACATATTCAGCTATTGTTTGCTTAATGTGTGAATTGAGGACTTACTCATGAGAAAAATACTTAATTACTTGCACTCTAGTCTCTATATTTACATCAAATAAATTAAGTAATTTAATTTAAACATGATTTAAAGATATAGAAACCTGTATATAAAAAAACATATATCTTGTATTCGCTGGATTTGCGCAAACAAGTGCGAATAATTAAGTTTTTACCTTAACGCACTTAACTGTCTGTTATTTGGAGCTATTTCTTCAAAGTGTTGTGGATATATTTGTCTTTAAATTTCTAAGTGGATAAAAACACGTGCTGCTTCTACTTGGTTTGATATATATACAGGAACATGATTATTTACAAGTAAAAGGATATTAAGCTATGCTTTTATAAGCCATATATTTCGTGTTAATATTTCAAAATTTCCTAACATTTTTCTAGCAGAGAATTAGATAAAATACAACATAATAATATGCAAGATTATGGTAAAATTACTCCCATCTTAGCTTGGAACTTGGAACAACAAGGTCCAAGAGATGTTGTCATTTCACAACCCCCCACCCTCACCCCCACCCCCACCCCACCCCCCAAAAAAAAAAGCCAAAAGATACTAAAAAGAAGAGTTGAAATGTTGGGTAACCATTGTATAAAAGAAGTTGGAAGTATTTCTCTTGGGCAGATTAATTAAGAATCTTTTGTTAGTGAAGTATTATCTAATATGCATGGTATTAGGATCAATGTCTAATATATCATAATCAAACTCTTAATCTACTAGCTAGTCCTTTTTCAACTGTATCTTTAATTGAAGACTCACAGCATTAGTATAGAATGGCTGCTGAAAACTTTTTTTTGACGGTTTATTATTGATGAAAGAATTTCTAACGGTTTTATTTAGACGATGTTGTTGGTCTAAATTTTCTATATTTCTTGTGTAGTGTCATGTCTTGGTAACTAATTAAATGGTAGTCAAATTGGTAGAAAGGAAAAACCGATCGATCAACAAAAACCATCATAGTTTAAAGTCAATTTAATCACACGTTGTCGCCTTACGGTTTTGGGAAGAATTTATTTGACAATAACAAGAGTACACTATTTATAATGAAGAAAATAACTTCAAGTTTGACAATGGAGCTCTACAATAAAGACTCTATAAAGAATTGATCAACATTTAATATATATCTTGAAATATTTTGTTTTCTTAATACTACCCATTCCATTTTGTTGAATTCATGTGCTGAATATATTTTTACCTTATTTTATATTTCCTTAAATTAATGTTGAAAATTTTAAACTAATAATAGGGATTCAAGAAAGTAGCATCAAAACGCTGGGAATTTCAGCATGACAAGTTCAAGAAAGGATGCAGGCAATTGTTAGAAGAAATAACGAGGAAGAAATGTGAGCCAAGTGCATTTCCTACATACTTAAAGCCTACTGAAAGGAATACATTTGCTAAAGAAGAAGAGAATATAACAAGGCAGCTGCTCATAGAAGAGAACAAAAACCTAAGAAAAGAAAGGTTAGAATTGCAAATGCAGATTGCTCATTTCAAAACAGTGGAAATGAAGTTGTTGAAATGCCTTTCTCAATGTGTGGAGAACTCACAAAATAAAATTAGAAGACTGTTTTAGACCCCGCAGGAGCTTTGTGCATCGAACTATTTATTTATTAATTTATTTTTTATATTATAAACAACTATGTATAATTACCCCAAATCCAATAACCCCCAAAAAATGAAAAGGAGGAGGTGAATCTTCCAATAGTTAATTAACATAATAGGAAGTTGAGTCTTTCAAGTCTTGCCCCAAAATTTGGGAGCTTGGTAATGTTTTATGGCTCAACTTCTGTTTACCTCGAAAATACGAGTAACAATAAAATTTGGTTTGTGGTTTTAAAAATATGTGATTTAGTTCAATACCAATTAATAATCAAGAAATCTGAAATAAAGATGAAAGAAATGAGTAAATCCAACCAGTGTTGCTAGGCAATATCGACCTCGAACCCAGTGACTCGAGATGGATCAAGAACAGTAAAGCAAGAATAATAAAGTTGAAGGACAATTCTGATGAACAATGAGCGAGAAAAGTAAGAGAGTATTTTCTTTGCCAATGATTAGATGATGTTTACAAATGATTGGGGTGCCTTTTATATAATAGGGGAACCCTAAATAAGGTACATTTCCGTTTACAGTAAAGATTCTTATTGGGACAGCTGTCTAACCGCCTAGTACGAATTTGTACAAATCTATTCCGGGATTTGCGCCACGATCTTGGGGACGTGGCAGGAATCTTGCTCATTCTGTTACAAATCTGTAACGACATTATCTCGGGGTTGAGCATACTCGGCCTTGATACTCATCGTACTTCGATCCTCGGGCATTGCACTCTGTCTTCGAGCTCGAGTCTGGTCCATCGAGCTCGGACTCGACCTTGCCTGAACTCGGGGTCAAGGCGACCCCTCGAGTCCGAAAAATCGGGCATACCTGATTTCGACCGTATACAAATAGTCCCCGCGTTTCTTAGAGTGAGACGATAAGAAACGATTTGATCTTCGATGTTTCGATGCCTTGATCATAATGCCAATCTCGTGATGTCAGTGGCTGAAGCGATTGAAAAGTCATTTCCGCATACTTCCCAAGGTCATTAATTGGAGGCGGCTGATGGTCGGCTATTTGGCTACCCCGATACACTTAACACTACAAGAAAATGGCTTATTAGCGACCAACTTTTAGCGACAGAGTTAAAATCTCGTCCCCAAAAGTACACCTATTACGATGAGATTTTATTCTGGTCCCAAATCTTCATTATGGGTTTCTAAACTAACAAAGGGTGCAAAATCCTGTTGTTGAAAGGATAAATATCCGGTCCCTATAATTTGCGCCAATATAAAAAAATTCTATTAATATTAAACCTCCCCCAAGTCCCTTTGGGACATCCGATAATAAATTAGACCCCCGTCCCCCCTCCTTCTAGTTTTCCCCAAAATGAAACCCTAACAAATCGCTATTCCAAATCTTTTTCGAAGTTTCTCTCACGACGCGTCTATCTGAAGTGGATGAAGACTCACAACCCGGCGATGAAAAGAGTTGTCTATATGAACAGGTTTGTCTTTATCTTTCTTTCTTTCTCTTGTTTCTAGGTTTAAAACAGATTTTTTTTATTGAGTATGACGATCTTCGGTGCTGATTCTACTGCATACTGATGGTGGTGGAGTTTCGTTTAAAGGTGGGGCTTAATGGGCAAGGAGGATGAGGAATTGAAATATCTCCCCCTAGGTGTTATGTTCGTCAGAGTAAAAAAATGTAGGGAACAAAGTGTTTGTCTTCTTAAATGTCATTTTGAATGCAAGTGTGTGAATATTTGTGTTCTAAGGATTGTGAGAAAAAAATGCTAAATGTTGATTAAATTTTCTCTTATATAGTAAAAAAAAATGTCAGTTTTTATCAATCTAGAGGTAAAAGGAACTAAAAAAGAAAAGATCTCTAACCAAAATTATCTATTTTTTTTATGTTTCAAGCAACAAACTAGTTCATGTGCAATCCTATCCATCAAGATTTGCCAGGTTTTTCTTTAAACTGTAAAGCGTGAGACAACTTAGCAAACGAAGTAAGAGAAATAAAAATCACTACATATGAACAGCCACATCGATATAAAGAAGCCCATTAGGATTATAGGAACTTGTTTAGAGGACTAAGGCAATATGGGATCTGTTTGTGACTGTGAATTTTGCTATAAGGTGAATTGATTCGATCCCTCATAAAAAAAAGGTGAATTGGTAGAATTTTGTTGACTCAATAGGTGATCTAGTTCAGTTATTCATTCTAGATCATGTTTTTAGATTTTTAGATTTGTATAAGCAGTATAGTGAGGATAATGGTGACTGAATGGGGTAATTCTAGTGTTGTATTTAAAACAGTTATCTGATAGCTTATCTATATTATTCACTTCTTAAAATTTGAACCACAGCTAAGCAAGTAAAAGGGCTTTAACTATCTATGATGTGTTGTTTTAGGAAAGGAAAGTACTCCCTGCTAACATGTAGATGGGTAATCTTGAGGTGTCTACTTGGTTCAACGTTAAATTGGTATGGACGTACGCATTTGAAGATTCATGTATTTCTTTAATGTATGTTTTCTTTAAGCAATGTAGTTAGCTTAGCATATCTTGTTGCTAGAGCTTCCTAAAAAATCTACAAAAACAAGAAATTTATTAAACCTAAATAGTTGATGATTGAGGTCTTTTGATATTTCTATATATGTGTTTGAAATTACATTAGTTGATATTTTTCAAAAGGTTACTAAGATTGACTATTGATCTCATCCTCTGTTTTCTTCCAATGATATGACCAATAACCTGTGAGTATGTTAAAGTTGGCGTAATCAGTAACTTAAAAACAAAATAAAAAAGTTAGGTCCCTATAATGGATAAGTTAATCTTTTGGCCTATAGTAAAAATCTTCTATAATCTAATAGTATCTTAAGTATTGTACCAACCTTAAATCTCAATCTATGGCAGACTGAGGAAACAAGTTAAGACTGTTAGTTAGATAATTAGATTCTCTTTTTACGTTTGAAGTATCATGTAGATTATCTTCTCTAAGTTTGAGTAATTTGGTTTGATGTAATATGTATAACCAAAAATCTTTATTATCTTCCGATACTTGTTCACCTTGGGCATTGAAAATGGATATGTGGAGAAATCGTTACATTCAAGAAATAGATTTTTTTTTACTGTGAGTCATACATAATCACTCATGACGGTTGCATCTTCACTGAGTTTACTCTTTACTTTCTATGTTGATTTGCTAAATTCAAAGCTCTTAAAGACCATAGAAGCAACATACTAGTATAAAGAAGATAGAAATGAGGTAGCTTGTCATAAGCATCTTTTATGCAAGCTCAAGCTTATTAAGATGGTGCAGGTGTATCATGTGAGAGTTTTAATATTGATTTCATGATTTTATTGATCTTTTTCAAATAAATTTTCTTAAGGAACATCTTCTATTGGAGTTCTTAAGTTAAGAATGATGTTAGAAATATACATCAATTATATTATCTGAATAGAGACATATGTGGAAGATGATTGCTGGTCTTTGAGAAAGGCAGTAACATTGATGGTTTCAGTTTCGTCTTTTCAGATTATGTAATATCCTTTATCTTGAGCTATCATTTATGCAATTTGATTGATATCTTGCTTTCGGATTTTGAAAAGGATGTAGCTGAAGTGTACATGAAATTACATGCTTTACTCTGTAAAGTTATCTTTTATATGTACTCCTATCCAACTTTTTCTTAAAGTTGGCCCCCAATTTACATCAAAAACTCTTTCAGTTACCTATAAAAAAAAATTACATGCTTTATAGGAGAGGGAAATATACAATATGTGAGTGTTCCTCTCCATTGTTATAATCTTTTGGAATGGAGAAAAATATTATTTTGTCATGACTTGAGTGATATTAAAGTTTGTGAACAAGCTTTATACCTCAATTATATAAATGAATAGTTGGAAAGTGAAGTATTTGAGTTGTGCTAGAAAAGAAATATTTTTGTCTGTTTGAGCTGCTATGAAATTTTGTACACTGTCTTGATTTTACGTACATGATTTGGATTTATTTCCTGGTTGTATTGGCTAATATGTGGTGTTAATATGTGCAGGCACAAGATAGAGGTCCAAATATATCCAAATAGCAAGACGTTGAACACAAAATACGAAAGTTTACCACCCTAACGGAGACATGAAAAATACCTACAACAGTAATTTACTTCGACTAACAAATACCACATCAAGATGCTACACCAGCAAGAGTTTTGAAATTATTAGATAAACTTGTATATCGAGGATATTTAGATGGTTGTAGTATGTAAAATATAAATGGTAGGATATATGTAGGAGGTAAGGCATATGTCCCCCTCCTTGTATTGAACATGTTATTGAAATCTGCATCAAGGTCTTAGTGATTTAACGTTGATGTGTGTGTGTGTGTGTATATATATATATATAAAAAGCTTGATGTTATTGATAATTATGTTGTATTGAGCTGATTATCTTTGTTGATAATTGCATAATATTCTGGTGATAAATTGGATATGAGAGGTTCAACAATCAGGTTTTTGGTCGTTAAAAACTTTATAGGACCAGTACAAGCTGGTCGCTAAAAATATATAAGCACCAGATGTGTTTTTGTCTAGGACTAGAAATGTGGTTGGTAAAAGTGTTTTTAGACTGGTCGAAAAAATACTTTAAGGACCAGCTACTCAACTCGTCGTTATTGCCTTTTAGCAGCGGAGCCTTTAGCGACCGGCGGCGACCAGATTTTCCTGGTCGCTATAGACCTTCAAAGACTAGAATTGGACTATTAGGGACCAATTTTCTCGTCCCTAAAGACCATTTTTACTGTAGCACGCAGTCCGAAATGGCAAACAATAGGAGAATAATTTTTTTGGATTAAGAACTTTGAACCTGATAAATTGTTATTGAGTTGCTGATTTGATGGCTTATTTGGCCCAATCTATCAAATGATACTGAAAGTAATCTAATCCTTTCACCCCTCTATTTAAACTATTATCTAGTTAGTCTTAGATAAATATTATATCAAAAACTAACTAGCACCCGCCACCACCAAATCTCACTAATAGAGCTCACTTTGCTTTT